CAAGAGTGCCCTTATTTAAGTAAGAGGCACTCGAACTAACATAATAGTACACATCAGCACTCTCAACAGGTGTACAAGGACTAAAATACCCCTTCACTAACAGTTTTCGTAATGGCTTAAGGGAGGAGGAGCTTGCTTGTGTTACTGAACTTCTATCCATTCTAGAGAGTGTTGGTTTGGACCCCTCTTCTCCTGATAAAAGGGTGTGGACTCCTATCCCAAAAGGTTCTTTCACTTGTGCATCCTTCTTCAAATCCCTTTGTTTGAGCACTTCTTTTGAGCCTTTCCCAGTGAAAGAAGTTTGGACAAAGCCTGTGCCCCCCCAAAATTGCTGTTTTCGTCTGGGAAGTTACCAAGGAGAAAGCCTTTTATTTGTTTGTCCCCAAACTGGTGTGTAATGTGCAATTCTCATAGTGAGGACTGTTACCACTTACTGGTTTTTTGTTCCTTTGCTGCAGCTCTTTGGGATTGGATATTTGTTTTGTTTGGATGTAGGTGGAATCAACCAGCAGAGGTAAAATCATTATTTGCACCAACCACCTTTTGTTGCCTAACAAATAGAGGAAGGAGTATGTGGAGATGTTGCAGAGCAGCCACCTTATGGACAATTTGGGAAGAAAGAAACGCTAGAATTTTCCCAGATAAAGAGAGGTCCATGACAGAAGTGAAGGAATGTATCTTAACCAGGACTATCCATTGGCTGAAATCCTTGGATTCTTTCAGCTGTTTTTCATTTGATGATATCTGGAGAAATTGGACCACAGTTGCACACACTTTGGTTAGAATAACCAGAGCCACTACAGTTTGGGTAACTCCCCAGAAGGTTTTTTTAAACTGAATTTTGACAGTAGCAGCTAGGTTAATCCAGGACCGTCTGGCATTGGAGGAGTTTTGAGGAATGAAAATGGCAACATCATATCCTTTTTCTCAGGCCCGATAGGGATAGGGGACTCTACAAGAGCTGAGATATTGGCTCCAGTACAGGGAATTCAGATTGCTAATCAACTAAGAGTGGAGAACCTATTGATTGAAGGGGATTCTAAGGTGATTGTGGGCTGGCTGTCAAATCCAGATTCAGTTGTTTGGAGTTATAGGGATCTCATCAAAAAAGTCAAATGGTTAACAAGGCACATAACATGTAGATATCAGTGGGTGGGTAGGGAGGCAAATGCTTTGGCTGATCATCTTGCTAAACAGGGGTCTACTAGGGACAATTTATTCTGGGCAGCATTGTAATTTTATTTCTGATTTCTTGTAACGGTTAGGGGAGGCTGCATCTCGTGGCTCTCCAAGGACTTCTTGTAAAATCTATTTCCTTTTGGTTTGAAATCATTTTCAATTATAAAAAAAAATACTAGATCAAATTATCAAATCCTTAGGGCATACAATGTGGAATAGTTTTGATTGGTTGTTCTATCTAGTGATATTTTTCTTAAACTGGCAATAAATGATAACATTGTACCATCCAAAGCTGTTTTCTCCCATGTACATAGTGGTGACTGTTCAACTGGTTGCTTCTGTTTAGTTCAGTTTGTGAATAGTTTGTAGAATGAGAATATTACTAGGAATATGCTTCTTTAAATGCCATTTGTTATGATCAAATTCTATTGTTTATGTTGTTGATTGTGCTGTCATAATGTTAGGTCATTGTGATATCTGGAGAGACTGGATGTGGAAAAACCACCCAACTCCCTCAGTATATATTAGAATCAGAGATAGAGTCTGGCCGTGGTGCGTTCTGTAATATTATCTGTACACAGCCTCGAAGAATATCTGCTATGGCTGTTTCTGAAAGAGTGTCCGCAGAAAGAGGAGAGCCTCTTGGTGAATCAGTAAGCTTTATTTAATGATAGTATGGATAAGTTCATTATTACCAAAAAGGAATTATTTATAAAAAGATTCTTTGTTTTATCTGTCATACAACGTAAGCTTTTGTGCTAGGTTGGTTACAAAGTTCGATTAGAAGGAATGAAGGGAAAAAACACCCACCTGCTTTTTTGTACCAGTGGTATTCTGCTCAGGAGGTTGCTTAGTGACAGGAATTTGAATGGTATAACCCACGTTTTTGTAGATGAAATTCATGAGCGAGGCATGAATGAAGGTAAGTTTCCTAACAAATTCCGTTTGATTTCTGAGCTTCTATCAAAGTATTTTATCTTTCTTGTTTTCTTATACTTGTCTCATTTTCTTGTACTCATGTCACAGACTTCCTTTTGATTGTACTGAAAGATCTTCTTCCTCGTCGACGGGATTTGAGACTGATTTTGATGAGTGCCACTCTGAATGCGGAGCTTTTTTCAAATTATTTTGGAGGGTCACCAAAAGTTCACATTCCAGTGAGTTCTTATACTAAAGCTAGTTATTTGTAAAATATTCTTGGATCATTGGGCTAGTGGTGAGTAGGTACATAGTGTGTATGTGTTTGGGCACTTGCGTGTGAATATAGGAATTTCCCCAAGTGATAACTTCTGTTCAAAGTTATGGAATTTTAATGTGAAAAGTTTCCAATAAATTCTGTCTTAATGCAAATAAAATAACTATAAAAAATGTACAAAGAGAGTTTAGAGAAAGAGAAAGAGAGGAGAGAATGTGAGAATAGAAAAATTATGGAAGTCTAATTGCATCTCCCTTTTGCCACCCATTCGTATTTATAATAAAAGGATAACTACAAATACGACACTAACGTTTCTTAAGTAAAATATAGATGTAGTGAACAAACTTCCCTGATTTCTGTGCATTATGTTTCTAACACTCCCCCTCAAGCTGGAGCATAAATATCATAGAGCTCCAGCTTGTTAGAAATGTAATACATTCTTTCCCTGTTCAAACTCTAGTAAAATGCTATACCAACTGATTTTCACACCTAACAGGAGTAATGACATCATCGTGCAAGACCTTCTTTCTAACAAAATGGCAATCCATCTTAATGTGTTTGGTCCTCTTGTGAAACACAGGATTAGAGGCTATGTGAGTACCAACTGGATTATCAAAACAAGGAAAAAGAATGTAATGGGCCCAGTAATCGATATCCCAATCTCCGGAAGGAAATATTTTGGCCATATTAACTCATAAGTAGTGTGGCCATAGCCCTATATTCAGCTTTAACACTGCTCCTAGCCACCACATTCTGTTTTTTATTTTTCCAGGTAACAAGATTTTCTGCTATAAATGTATGGTAGCCTGTAGTAGACCTTCTATCCAAGGTTGATCTTGCTTAGTCTATGTGGACCTTCTATCCAAGACTGCAGCTCTTGTGTATTTCCAAAGGGCTCTTCTCTGTTTCTTGGGAGGGGATATAAAAAGAAATGAGAAACAAGCTCTTCAAGTCCAAGGGAGGACCCAACCTGCCATCAAAGATAGAGAAGAAAAAAAATCCTAATAATAGATGTAAATTTACCGGAGATTAGTAAGTGGGTTGTGTTCTCACCAGTTGCTCAGTTTCTCTACAGAGGAAAACATGAGGTGCTTTAAACCAGAAGGGTTTTCTCCGTAATTTCTCACAAGTATTAATTTTGTCATGGAACACGTCCTAACAACAAGCTATAACTCTGGGTGCTACCAGTTCTCTTTAGATAGCTTTCATTGGACAAGTAATTAAAGGCTGAGGGTCTCTTGCAATGACAGAGAAAAAAGATGCACAAGAGAAAGTGCCTGAAACAATGTGATCTAGATTTTGGTATCAGACAGGTTGGGGTTAATAAATACACCTTTCAAATGGTCAAGTAGAGCCAGAACATCTGAGGTCTGACACTCCCCAAGTTCCTTATGAAGCAATCTTTGTTGGAATATAGAGAAAAAATCAATCCTTGAGGGCTGTTCCCCCCATCAAAGATCCTTCCAAAAATTTGTTCTATTTCTAGAAGCCACGTCATCTCTAGTGAAGCATACAAAACAGGGATATATAGAAACGATAGCTTTCCAAGGAGAAATAGTAATGCTGTTTGGTTAAGTCCTGCATCCCATCCATCGGGCTTAAGTCCATGAATGTTCTTAATGACTTAATACCAAACTTGTCTGTTTCAATGGGAAACCACCATAACCATTTGCCTAATTGAGAGGTATTCCTCAATGACACCTTGTCCAGACCCAATCCTCTAGCCTTCTTGTCCTTACAAATTGTTGTCCAATAAATCAAATGATCCTTCTTTGATTTCCCTGACACCCATAAGAAATTAAACACTATCTTTTTAATTTTTTTGCCACTGATGCTGGAATTTTGAAAATGGAAAGTGAGATTTCTTAGTAGATAGGGATGTTTCTTAATGTATATTTGATTAAGGTTCTTTGGCCCCGTGTGAAATATGATCTTCTTCCTTGTTGCAAGTTTCTTGGAAAAACCATCCATTATGAGATTTCAAAAACTAGAGGACCTTGGATTCCGTCTACAGGTAGGCTTAAGTATCTAACTGGTCATTCCTCCATTGAATACTCCAAGATCTCTGCATGTCTCTTTGTGACACTATACCATATATCCCCCCTCTCCCCCCCATATTTCCCGAAGTGCACCTTCAAGTTGGAAACCCTCTCAAAGCATTTCACCAACAAATGAAGGTTTCTTACCCTGATTATTGCCCTATCTTATGCAGAAGATGATCACATCATTAGAAAAAATTAGGTGAGTGTGAGATACCACAACTTGATCTTTACCCATCCTTCATCCTTCCACCAATTGCAACCTGTCTGCCCTCAATATCAATCGACATAGAACATCTGCTATGATACTGGAAGGGAATGGGGATAACGGATCTGCTTGTTTTTTATACATCATTGAACTTTGTATCTTTTTTTTTTTTGTTTCTTGAATTAAGGTTCATAATGTATTTGCAATCTGTATCAAACACCTAACCATGAAATTCACCTAATTGTTTTCTGAATGTTCAGTGCCACTCTTTTTCGGCCACCTTAATAACCTTGTATTGGTTTTTAACACTTTTCATTCAAAATGAGGTTGATTCATGTAACATGTTCAGCATGTTTAGCTTGAAAGTTGGTATCTGTTTTCTCACCAGGGCTTTACATACCCAGTAAGAGCACACTTTCTGGAGGATGTATTGGAAATGACTGGATACAAGTTCACCTCATTCAACCAAATTGATGATTATGGTCAGGAGAAACTATGGAAAACACAAAGGCAGCTAGTGCCAAGGAAGAGAAAAAACCAGATAACTGCACTTGTTGAGGTACCGTTTTGCTGCTTTATTTCAAAGTCTCTAATAGTTATTAGAACTTTGGATGTCTCTATAATTTTAATGATTGTTATGGTGTAAATCTATCATACAGGGGCCTTTTCGCCTGTCTCATGAAGAAGCTAATATAATATGTATATTGTTAAAAAAAGGATAGGGGATTGACTTGGGCACAAAGCTTGTTGATAAACAAGGCACATTCATAGTGGAAAGTGAAAGAAACCACTAATTTATAATGACAAAAAGTTAAAAAGATGAGAACAATATTGTCTATTCAAACATGTATATATTTTTCTGATGTCGTCATAATTTATTGTGAGGATACAAGGAGGAAGGAACCAAAAATCTTCAGTCTTTGATTAAGTTATTTGAAAGCGTTTTGAACTTGAGAGCAGCCTTGAGAAGAGTAGTGTTGTGGGGATTAATATTGAGGACTCGGTGTTAGAATGGTATGTTGAGGTGTTAAGGTGCATGAAAGGGGAGTGGTCTATTAATTATCTTGGGTTTCAACTAAGGAGAAATCCTAGGTCTATTAGCTTTTTGAATCCAATTTTGGATAGGTTCACTAAGAAATTGTTAACTGGGAAGAAAAATTACATCCCATGGGGGGGGGGGGGTGGAGGGTTATGTTGATAAAAGCAACATTAGTTGACTTGCCCATTTACTACCACTTTGTCACGGGGCTAGTCGTTGGGGCCCCGTGCGGCACTCGAATGCGACGAGTAAGCCTAAGCAACAAGCAACAACACAAGAAAAGGCAACAAAGATGGCACACGAATTAGACAAAAGGCAAATTGTATTGCATTAATGGATGGCAAGCATAAGCACCCAGTTCAGTGTCAAGGGGATCTAATGCTTAACCTTTACATGCTCTTGATTCACTTGACTACCTACCTCCTCTCAAAGAGTACGCTAAGCTTTTGGGAGAGTGACATAAAGATACATCAAAGGATGAAAAATCATACTAAGTAATTACAAGAATGCCATTGGCAATCCCCCCATACAAAAGTACATGCATAGCCCACCCATGACACACACTTGGACACTGGAGTGGCAGCTGTAGGCATGATGGATGGCACTTGTGATAGTCTCCCCCACTCAATTCAGTCTTCGAGGATGAAGACTGGCTTCTGCTTGAGGCTCAGATCTGCTGTTGATGAAGGAGGGTTCTTCAGCTGCTCCGCGAACTTGGTCTCTTCCAAGGCCCGGGCATGAGGTTGGGTGGATGTCTTTAGGGTGTTCTTGATGGTGGGAAAACCTATGGCTAGTTCCTACGTTAAGTCCTTGCCTGGCTACTTCAAGGTAGGATTTTGGATGTTCTGCTTTGGTGGTAGGAAAGTTTGTGGCCAGGGCTAGCTCAAAATGAAGGTTTGGATTTTTTGGGTATTGTTCCCCTTGATGATTTTTCCCCCAAGGGTTGCTCCTCACAAGGCTCCTATGAGGGTTGGCTTGATCAATGTGGTGGCGGATAGGGTACCTAAGTGGATTTGGTGGTACTCGCTCTCCCTGTTGATTGTCATAGTGGAACTGGTTGTGGCTGGAGACGACCTTGGGTCTTCCAGGAGTCTTCTGTTTTGTCGGCTCGTGGCACTGACATTGGTGCTGTTGTTGATGTTGATGCTGGTGCTGTTGCTGTTGCTGATGTCGTTGTTGGTACTGATGTTGGAACGGCTTTGGGGGAGACTTCTTCCTGGTGATGACTTCCCAACCTGTCCCAATTGCTTCCCATGTACCTTCAAGGTTGTTGTCACTGGAACCATGCAAGGAGAACACTTGTCCAAGATGAGCAGACTGTCTATGTGTGGCATGAGAGCTGCTTCCGCATGTGCAAGAAACTCCATTCCCAAGACAACCTGAAAATCATCCAAAGGTACTACAGATAGATTGATGGGTCCTTTCCATGACCCAACTTGGAGTTCTACTCCACGAGCCATGCCTTCTACTGCTTTGGCCTCTGTATTGACATCCTTGATCCACCCTGTCTGTTTGGTGGTGGTCAAGCCGAGTCACTTTGCCTCCGCAAGCGGGACGAAGTTGTGGGTGGACTCAGTGTCCACCAAGGCTTGGGTCGGTCTCCCGCCGAGGGTGATGTCTACATATTTCAGCCCCTTGTGGGCTTTGATGAGCTGCTTGGATGTGGCCTCTTTCTTAACCATGGCATTGATGAGTTGGAGGGCACCTACTCTTGGCGCCGTTGTGGGTTTCTCCTCATCACTCTCTTCACTGTTGTTGAGTTTGGCGATGAGGGCATTGAGTTTCTTCCATGTTGGACAGTCACTCGTCCAATGATTTCCATTGCAAAGGTAACAAGGCGTAGGAGGAGCAGTTGGTTTCCTAGTGAACCGGTGGCCCTGATAGCTTTGGGCTCCTTGTGGCTTCTTCCCTTGTTGGTAATTGTGGGGCTTGTTAGTGGGCACTGGTTTCTCCTGTGTAGAGGTTGATTTCTAATCTCCCCCACTCAAGCTATTGGTACGTGGGCTATGTGGTTGGTGGTTTTCCTCTTCTGACTTCCTTAGATCAACTAGTTGCTCGCCACCGCCATGGCTGTTGCTAAGTCCTTCACCCCACGCCGTTGTAGTTCGAGCTCCGCCCATGGTTTGAGACCATCCATGAAGTTGAACAAAAGGTCTTTGTCAGACATGTCAGAGATCTCAAGGGTTAGGGCTGAGAACTCTTGGACATAGTCATGCAATGAGTCTTGATGCTTCAAGTTCTTCAACTTTCTTCGTGCCAAGTACTCAACATTTTTGGGGAAGAATTGTCGCTTGATCTCTCTCTTGAAATTGGCCCAGGTGTTGAGGGTCCAAGTGCCACGTTCAATGTCCTGGCAACATCTACGCCACCATAACATTGCAATATCATTTAAATACATGGCGGCTATACGTACCTGAGTTTGGTCATCATGGATGCCAGTCGCGGAGAAGTATTGATCAAATTGCCACAAGAAGTTTTCAAGCTCTCGAGCATCACGAGCATCGGGGTTTGGAGTTGGTTGGCGCACGTTGATATGGGTGGATGGAGCGGATGAAGAGCCGGTGGAATTGGCCATAGCTCTTTTCATGATTGTCAGCTCAGCCCTCATCTCATCCAATTGCACTTGGAAGCTGTCCATCATGCCTTGAAGGTTGCTTTGGGAAGAGCTGGTTTGTGACTGCTGCAAGGTGTTGTGGACGTCTCGGAGGGTTCCGTTGAAGCAGCTCTCCAACTCCACCACAACATTCTCTACAGTCTCCATGTTGAGATGGAGTTCATCGACCCGATCTCGAGTCTCACCTACTGTTGCCTTGCAACGTAGGATGCACATGTCCATGCTAGCTAGCTGGTCGACCGATTTATCACGCTTGCTAGCTTTAGTTGTGTGGCCCTTCAGTGCTTGTGTCCTGTTGGGTTCGTCGAGTGGAGCCTCATTGGTGCCATGGGCTTGGTGTGGCCCGTGTAGTGTGTCATCGGCAATGTTGCGGTTGCTCTTCATTGTGTTGAATTAGGGGCGGTTGACAGGGTCCAATGTGCGTGTAGGAGCTCCTGCTCTGATACCAACTGTCACGGGGCTAGTCTTGGGGGGCCCCGTGCGGCACTCGAACGCGACGAGTAAGCCTAAGCAGCAAGCAACAACACAAGAAAAGGCAACAAAGATGGCACACGAATTAGACAAAAGGCAAATTGTATTGCATTAATGGATGGCAAGCATAAGCACACAGTTCAGTGTCGAGGGGATCTCATGCTTAACCTTTACATGCTCTTGATTCACTTGACTGCCTACCTCCCCCTCAAAGAGTACGTTAAGCTTTTGGGGGAGTGACATAAAGATACACCGAAAGGATGAAAAATCATGCTAAGTAATTACAAGAATGCAATTGGCAATCCCCCCATACAAAAGTACATGCATAGCCCACCCATGACACACACTTGGACACTGGAGTGGCGGCTGTAGGCACGATGGATGGCACTTGATGGCACGACGAAGAGAACACTTGTGACAACTTGGTGTTCAAATAATCCTAGTGTTGGTGGTGAAGAGGTTAGAGAAACTAACAATGAATTTTCTTTGGGACCTAGGAAGTTCAATGAAGGATCATCTAATTAATTGGGGGATGCTATTAGGGGTGGCAATTTCATGCCCAGCCTGTTGTACCCACCCAACCCACCCATTTTATAACTCCCAAATTGTCCATTTACTTATCGGGTTGGAAATGTGTTAAATTCTGCATTTGATCAATTTAATGGACTGGATTTGTTGGGTTGTGGCTACCTATTGGGTTAATCATTAATACAAGTGTGAATTGCCTAACCAATTTCTCATTTGGACCGGGTTGGGTTGGCACAATATGGTGCATAAACACCTGATTAGAATATAAGCTTTAACTTGAACTTGGTCACATGGTCCAATTGTTTGACCCAATTTGGGTCAACACAATGCACCCATACCCAATCCAAATTAACTTGAATCCAGTTAGATGTTTTGATGGCCCAATTGGTCTAGTTCAATTTAGAACCCTGGAGAATTGAGAAGTTTGGCCATACCCAAACTGAATTAATTTGAACATAGTCAAGTGGTTAGATGACCTTTTTGGTTTGGACTGGTTCAATCAATCAATTTAAGGCCTGTTCCAGTTCGATCCAACACAAAATACCCATATATTAACCTGAACCTTAGCTTGAATTTGGTCAAATGGTTCAGTGTTTGATTCAATTTGGGTTACTACGATTTGAATGATGGCCCAACATGGTTCCCAAGCTGCTCAACTAAACCCAAACCTAATCAGCTGGCTTGGCCCAACCCGGTTTGGGTTGACCTGATTTGGTTCAGACTTGAATGGTGAAATTGCATGTGGTTTAAAAGCAGCCACAAACCTAGTCAGGTTGCTTGTTTTGGGAATCATGGGTGTGGCTTTTCATCTCTAATCGAAGGAGTTGTTTCCAAAGGTGGGATTGATCTATGAGTTGCTATGGTTTAGGTGATAGGTACCAAGCCAGGGTTGATTCCTCTGTTGATT